TATGTGCCGATTTTGCTGTTTTGCTTGTTTTGGGCATATTAGTAGCCGTTTATGAAATTATGTGACGTAATCTTCTATTTCAGATAGTGGTGAGTTAGGCGGAGCCGGTGTGGTCCACTACTAACGAACACGCGCGAAGTGATTTTGCTCTTGTACCACTTTTGTGTTTTGAGTAAGTATTCAGGCCGCTCTTACGTGTTAGTTGCTTATGTGTTTCGATATGTATGAAAAGGGTACCTAGGCGAGGGTGTACTTTATCGCACTCGACCTAAACCCTAGTTTGTGCACATATTTGTACAAGACATATGTATAAGAATCATTTTGGAACTAAACCCCTTGTGCTTGTGGCTCGGGGTGAATTTTGAATAAATTTTGTGAAGTTTGTGAGTTTGGGGTCCGATCTCATGACCTAGATGGACTATTCGAGTCGGTTAGGGCTTGGTCGAAGTCAGTCCAACCTGGTTTGAGGTCACCAAGTTTGTGAATCCGGTTCACCGATTATGTGGACCAAGTTTATGACCCGAGCTTGTGAACCAAGCTCAATTTCGTTCGCTCGAGCAAGTTTGTGAGGTGCCTGGCCAAAGAGGGTGATAAGGTGTACGGTGGGAGTACAAGTGAAGCTCTACGGACCATTAATTGTAGTCGACGGAGTGTCGGCAGGAGATCATACATGGCACATGAATTGGTTTTGGAGCCACCTGTATCCTTATTATGTGATGTTACTTTTCTGCTTTTGCTTTACTCTTACTGTGTAACTGTTGTTACGTGAAATTTATGCTTTCGCCCCTGTTTACTTACTAAGCATATAGCTTACCCCTTTCCTTTTGTTTTCCTTAGCAGGGGCCGACGCGGGGGACTTTTGGCATGTACACTAGTATAGTTAGGTTTGATTGTAATAGTTGGACATATAGTATGTTTGTTTTTGTTTTGGTGGTTTGTATAAGGACCCTTCTTAGGGTCTATCTTCTGCTGGTGGTGGTTATAGTATATTAGAGTGGTTTGACTCGATACTTTTAAAGATGTAAATAGAACTTTTGGTGGTTGTATATATTATGAACAGTTCTCTTTTGGTTTAATATAGTTTTATTAGTTTTGTGTTTCGAGTCCTGGCGCGAGCTAGGCAGGCGTCCCGCCGATACCCTTGGGTTCGCCCTTGGGAGAAGCGGGGGCGTCACACCACACCAGTCCAAACGCTACTTGTGGTTCTTTTCCCGTCGCCACACTAGTCCAATGCTAGTTGTGGCCCTTTTGTTCCGATTTCCCACTAGTCCAATGCTAGTGAGGATCCATAGTGAAGGGCTAGTCCAATGCTAGACCCATTAGGCCCGTCCTTTTCGCTAGTGCATTTTTTGTATGTTTCACTACATTCCATGCATTTTTCTTAGTTTTCTAGCATTTGGAATGCTCCTCCAACCCTTTTCCCTTCATTTTAGGTTTTTGCATTTTCATGCTAGTTGTAGGGTACATTTGCTTGAGAGTCCCCTTTCGATAAGGGAAACGAGCGAGTGTGGCTGTAAAATAGCCTTAGCACGCTAGTTCTTCCTTCTAATCAAAGGGAAAATTAAAATCACAAAGTTAGGGGTCATTCCCGTACCCAACTTGATGCATTCCTCTAGGTTCATGCATCTTCATTTTACCATATCACTTTCTCATTTTTTACACTTTCTCACTATTTATATTTTTTCTCACTCCACATGCCAAACCGTCGCATTTCACAATCCCACGCCCTTTTATTTTCACTTTCACACACGTTCACATACATCTCCTACACACTACTTTCACACATCAAAAAGTGAGGCGCGACAGCTTGGCGACTCCACTGGGGACCTCCTAAGTGGGTCCAAGCATTTGATTTAGCCATTCTTTTCCGTTTTCTACCCTTGTTATGCGTAGCATTTGGATATTAGGGTTGCATTTTCCATTTTAGGACCTTTTGCATTTCGCGCGTATCAACTCACTCCCTCACCTATTTGCGTACGATTGATTTGATGGATGGATGGTTTATTTATGTGATGTGATCTCGCGCTTTGCATTGCATCCGGGTGGGGGGATATTTCCTTAGAGCCTCGTGTTGGTTCTCAATCCCTCCCCTCCAAACGAGCACTAGCATACGTGCATACGCTTTATTATTATTTATCCCTCCTTTATTTTTCTTTTAGTGGCTTGTCACGCCACTCCACCCTATTAGGATTAGGCGACCCACTTGGACGTGTGATCACGACACGATGTGTGTGTAGCATGATCCGATGGGTCACTCGATCTTCCACTTTAAGCTTTGGGTTGATAGCCTTTAGCTTTTAGTCGAAAGTTGAGGATTTTTGATAGATTCACTCAAACACGTAGCCGTGACACGATGTGTGCGTAGCGGTGTTTGGGGAATCGCTCGAGCCACCGACAAAGAACCTTGGGATTGATGACCCTTGGTTTCCAAGTCTGAAGGCTCGGGGACCTATGACCTATCGAGTCTAGATGCATTAGTAAGCCAAGCCTCACGCATCCATATTAGAATTGCCTTAGGGTAGAGTCTGCCTTGACACTATTCATGAGGGGAGGGATCCAACCCTCTTTTCCTTTTGTTGCTTTATCTTCTTATTTCTTTGCTACAATGTGTTATGTGTATTTATCGATTGAACTAATTTTTCTTGGTTTTTGTCTCCAATTACATTCATAAGCCCTAGAAAATAAGAGTCCTGGTATGGTACTTTCTAGGAGCTTACCCTATTTGATGTGACACGTTTAAATTCAATGTTTCGCATGAATACACTTCATTTTAGGCTCACCCCGGCATACAAAAAGGGGTTCCTTTAAGACACGTTTCATTTGTGTATTTACTGGCTTTGATAAACTGGCATCATGCATAAACCCTAGAAAGGGAATGCCATTTAGGAGAGCCCGTGTTTGGAATACACCACCTCGTGTCTCGGATACTTAATCCAAGGAGACTTGCACGTTTATATCCGAAGAGGTAGTGCACGAGGCAAGGTAGGATCTGATCATTTTCAAGAGCGTTCTTTGGAATATGGGCGTCTAATAATCACTTTTTGGCCATTTTATCAAAATTGGTAAAAATCCCTGGCGTAAAGGACATTAATTGGAACAAATTCACAAATGATTCCTCATTGTTGGGACGATAAATATATTGAGGCCAAAATTTGATTTTAGAATGCTCATAGACTACTGCATCGCAATAAATTTTTGAAACTACCAATGGATAGATTGATTTTTAAATAAGCTGCCAATTCCATTCAATCTATTGGACCATTTTATTCATCAAATTCATTCAGTCCATTTTATCAATTTGTTCATTTTTAGAGCAATCTAGTCGATTTTGAATAGATCACCAATTTCATTTCAATTCATTTGATTAGTTTACCCATTCTTAGGTCAATCTTATCGATTTTTAAAATCATCAATTTCATTCAATTCTTTTGATTAATTTGCCTCTTTTTAGGGCGATCAAGTCATTCTTTTAATAAATCATCGATTTCATTCAATTCATTTCACCAGCTTACCCTTTTTAAGGTGATCTAGTCAATTTAAAATAAATCTCAATCTCATTTGATCAATTTACCCAATTTTAGGATGACCCAGTCTATTTTCAATAATTTATCGGTTTCATCCGATCCGTTTGACGATTTAAGGTTTCGATGCCCAATTTTAGAATTAAAATGGCTAATTGTTTTGAGGAAATCATCAAAATGCATTCATTCGACTTGGATAGATTAGGGTTTCAATCCATTTTAAGAAATTTCAAGTTTCTCCAATAACAAGCTCGTCAAAGTTAAATCGATTTGTATAAATTCTTGTGCCAACCAAAACCAATCATTCATTCGGATTTGTCCTCATTTTGTTGGAGATTTCCCGCTGTTCAATTGGTCCAAAATTTCCAAATTACTCTCTAATCAAATGTCAATAAGTTGATCGGGCCCCTCAGGTATGGTATGGTGCCTGCCCTAGAGGATTGCATTTTCATGCTAGGCCTACCCTTGGCACAAAAGGGTTCCCCAATAGGACATGCATCCGAATTACTTTAATTATTACTAACTCCTGTCTTTTTCTTTTCCTTTTTCTTTTTTGACAACTGTCAATCAAGAAGGGCATCTAATAGGGGTTTTCCTACGTTCTCAGGTAGTAATTACAAAAATTGCAACATGAAGAAGCCCCATTATTACCCGATCACATAGCCGAGCTTCAAGAGAAAGTGTAAACATGAGTACCCGTCCCGAATCATTTGATAGGCCTGCAACAACATCAGCGACTAACTTGGCAAATCTGGGAGCTCAACTGAGCGAAGTTCTAAACCGATTTCATGAACTAAGCATTGAAATGATGGCCCAACGCGCGCGTGATCGACCAATTGGTCACTGGGGGTGCTAGAGGTGAGTAACAACACGAATCCTTACCCCCGGCCAATCTGAACCAATACTCTTACCTTATACTCAAGCCTCTGTTACTTCACAAGTCGTAAACCCACCGGAGGAAGCCTTTACTTATCCCACTCATGGCCACGACTTACTTATGTACCTCATATCCAAATTAACCCTTCTCATGCCCAAATCCCCCAGAATTATCTGCCAATCACTATGAGCATGCCATTTGAACCTCAAGGACCACATTATTACTCCACCGCTGAGCCATTCACCTTAGATACTCCGCCCAAGGGAAAGCTGAAGCTGGGGAATCATCCGCACCGGTTGATAAGAATTTGCTAAAAAGATTGGATCGGTTTGAGGAGTTCACAAGGAAAAACCAAGGTCTGAGCAAACAAGGAGGTCTAGACTACAACGATCTGTGCCTATTTTCGGATATGCAACTGCCAATGGGTTTCAAAGGGCCCAAATTTAGCAAGTACGATGGAACTGGCAATCCCAAAACACACATTCAGATGTTCGTAAACAAACTTGGAAGCCGATAGATGATGAGAATTTACCTGTACGTTTATTTCCCGAGAGTCTAGAAGGCGACGCGTTGGATTGGTATTCCAATTTGAAGCTGAGGATATGAGATCTTGGATGGATTTGTCAACTGCTTTTATGAGGCAGTACGAATACAATTGCGAGCTTGATCCAACGAGGGCCACACTTGAGGGGACTAAAAGAAAACCATCTGAGAACCACAAGACGTACGCGAAGAGATGGAGGAAATTGGCCGCCAAGGTGAAGCCTCCTATGACTGAAAACGAGATTGTTCGCACGTTCATCAAAGCTCATGACCCGCATTACTTTGAGGAAATTTTTCGAATGACCGGGTGTTCCTTTGCCGAAATTGTCAATAAATTGGAAGAATTTGATGAGTTTGTGAAGGCCGGAAAAATTGTTAATGTGTCAACATTGAAGATGCAACTAGAGGCACTGCAAGGCCAGAATGACAGTGGGAAAAAATCCCAATCTAAGGGAAAAGAAGAGGAAACTGCTTTTGTTGGGGATCAGGGCCCCTCGCCAGACCTATATTTTCAAACCGCCTTGCTTATTCATCACCCTATCCATACTACCCAAACTCCCGTCCTATCCACCATACTACCATTAACCGTCAAATGATGGCCCAACGGCGCGTGATCGACCAATTGGTCACTGGGGTGCTAGAGGTGAGCAACAACACGAATCCTTACCCCGGCCAATCTGAACCAATACTCTTACCTTATACTCAAGCTCTGTTACTTCACAATTCATAAACCCACCGGAGGAAGCCTTTACTTATCCCACTCATGGCCCACAACCTACTTATGTACCTCACATCCAAATTAACCCTTCTCATGACAAATCCCCCAGAATTATCCGCCAATCACTATGAGCATGCCATTTGAACCTCAAGGACCACATTATTACTCCACCGCTGAGCCATTCACCTTAGATACCGCCGCCAAGGGAAAGCTGAAGCTGGGGAATCATCCGCACCGGTTGATAAGAATTTGCTAAAAAGATTGGATCGGTTTGAGGAGTTCATAAGGAAAAACCAAGGTCTGAGCAAACAAAGAGGTCTAGACTACAACGATCTGTGCCTACTTTCGGATATGCAACTGCCAATGGGTTTCAAAGCGCCCAAATTTAGCAAGTACGATGGAACTGGCAATCCCAAAACACACATTCAGATGTTCGTAAACAAACTTGGAAAGCCGATAGACGATGAGAATTTACCTGTACGTTTATTTCCCGAGAGTCTAGAAGGCGACGCGTTGGATTGGTATTCCAATTTGAAGCCTGAGGATATGAGATCTTGGATGGATTTGTCAACTGCTTTTATGAGGCAGTACGAATACAATTGCGAGCTTGCTCCAACGAGGGCCACACTTGAGATGACTAAAAGAAAACCATCTGAGAACCACAAGACGTACGCGAAGAGATGGAGGAAATTGGCCGCCAAGGTGGAGCCTCCTATGACTGAAAACGAGATTGTTCGCACGTTCATCAAAGCTCATGACCCGCATTACTTTGAGGAAATTTTTGAATGACCAGGTGTTCCTTTGCCGAAATTGTCAATAAATTGGAAGAATTTGATGAGTATGTGAAGGCCGGAAAAATTGTTAATGTGTTCAACATTGAAGATGAAACTAAGAGGCTCTGCAAGGCTAGAATGACAGTGGGAAAAAATCCCAATCTAAGGGAAAAGAAGAGGAAACTGCTTTTGTTGGGGATCAGGGCCCCTCGGCCAGAACTAGATTTTCAAACCGCCTTGCTTATTCATCACCCTATCCATACTACCCAAACTCCCGTCCTATCACCATACTACCATTAACCATTCTCGACCTCGACCAATTAATCCAAATGTACTCACGTCACCCTTTCAAAATTTCCAACCAAATCTCCAAATAGACTCGCCCTCCTTTTAACCCAAGACCTATTCCCCCTAGCCCAAATTACTACTACCAACAAACCAGTCACACCCAAAATTCAACGTCACACCGAACCTTCACCAATCTAGGTCGGCCTGTTGACCAATTATATGAGCAATTGAAAGCTGTCGGGAAAATTGGTGTTATACCTCCTAAGATCTATTCTAAGCGCTTTCCTTCTGACTATGACCCTCAAGCAGTCTGCGCTTATCGTTCTGGAGCTCCGGGCATTCCACCAATGATTGTCGGGCATTGAAACATGAAATCCAGGATATGATCGAATTCGGAGAAATAGTGCTAAGGAAAAAGGGTGAACAGGGACAGAGCATAAGTACAAATCCCTTTCCCGAACAAAGGACGGCTTTGAGGCATCCACCCCTAATGAAGAAATTTGAGAATCCTGGAAGGGGCTGAATTAGTGAGATTCCTCTCCTTGAAGGGAGTTTGATAAATTTGGGGAGTTGTTTTGGTTAAACCAATGAAAATCGTTCATACATGTGTCTTTTGTTTAACTATGTTTTTTGTAAATAGTTCAATCAAGTGACTGCTAAAGACACGTTTCATGAATATTAAGTTTGGTTTTTGTCAGGAAATTCAATAAAATGTACAGTTTTATATATTATGACTTACACATTCTTTTTAGATGGCCCAGAATAAAACCGTCTGACCTTTGGATATCACTGTTCAGAATTTGATGGCAGCGATCTCACGATTGTGAATTTGAATTTCAAAATGAAAGGAGTAGGGGAAAAGACATTCGAAAATGTTTCAAAGAAGCCTGAATGGAGTAAAAGAAGGTCAAGCAGAATCAGGATCGAGATTAGGAATAAGAACAGTTAAACACTGTCCATCATGGTCAGTATGATCGAAAGGATTGGTCCGTATTACGCTTAATGGTCAAATCAGGATCATTCAGACGAGAAGGCAAAGCATTAAGGTGGTTTTCGTCAGTACAAAATAAAGCCAAAAGGAGAGTTTGCCGCGAATTGGTAAAGTGCTCTTATCATCAAAAAAAGGTATCGCCTGGTGGAGCACTTGTTCCCTCAATCAATCAATTCGGAGATGTGTAAGAAATTTTCATCTGAAAATGAAAGTTTTCTTTTAGAGTTAATGCGAAGATGGAATGAAAGTCAGGCTCTCTTCTTTTCCCATTAAGAATTATATCCTAGTTTATCCCTTTTGAGCTTTCAGAATAGATCATTTCGTTTGGCAACCTCTGAGAATCGCAAACCCCCACTGGGGCAAATTTAGTTTTGAAAGAAAAGAAAAAGAGAGAAAACCCCACACTGGGGTAAATTCAATTTTTTAAGGAAAGTCGAAAGAAAAGGAAATGAACAAAAGAAAGCCTCAATTAAAAATAAACTGGGGCAAATTTTCAAAAAGTTGAAAGATGAATGAAAAAGGGAGAAAATGAAAGAAAAGAGAACCTCAGTTGAGAATAAACTGGGCAAATTTTGATTTAACCCTAAAATAGGGTTAACATGGAAATGCGATCTCAGATCATTTAAACCACTTTTTGAAGTCTGCCTTCAAGCCTTAACCTTTCCTAGCACCTCACCCGACCCCATTACAAAAGCCAAAAAGTCCTGGCTTCCATTCTTGGCATCACCTCTTTTAAGGAAATTTTCTAAGTCACATGGCAAATGATGTCAATACGCCTTCACTCAGTTTGTAAGGGAAGGGGTTGTCGCACTGATGCCATTATTTCTTAAAACACATTTTTGAGTTGATAAAGGCTATTGGCAAGATTTGTTCATCAGGTGAAAATCCGAAAAGGGCACCTTTGAAAAGAAAAGGGAAAAAAAAAGAAGAAAGAAAAAAAGAAAAGCAAAAATGAAGAATGAAAAAAAAAAAAAAACACAAAAGTGGGAATAGCCTTAGTGAAAACCTAAAGGGCGCTAAGGTAGAGTTTCATGAGAAAAAGTGAGGTTGGAATTAGAAAGTGATTCGGTTCATTTGGGATTCTCCTCGCATTGTGGTTTTTCTGTTGCCGACATTGAACTCAGGGCGGATGATATCTAAAGGGTCAAGCGTGGCATTTTGTTTGAAGTCGGAATACTTTATTTTTCAAGCGTAAATTGTCGAATTTATAGATTCATTTCTTTAAAATTAATTTTCTTTCAATAAAAATAAATGATTGTTTTCATGTTACAGAAATTTTCATCATCTGTTGTGTAAATAGAATATTCTTTCATCAGTTTCATAGTCTTATTTATCTCTTTAGGTTCATCAGATGGCAATCCCCCTGATTTATTGAAAATCCCTGGATACCAAGGGCCTTATTAGCATTGGAAGTCAATGGAATTTGATCAGATCACAGAGCATAGTTGAGTTTTCGAAGTATCAAGGGGAAAACATCAAAGTACTCATGTTTACACATTTCTTGAAGGAGGAATTGATCGAATGGTGGTGGCATTATTTGTTCTTTCTTTTGCAGGTTCATACGCGTTTCAAAGGACGAAACTGGGGCAACTTTTTGAACTGAGGAATGTCGCCCAAGAATTCTTATATGACTGAGGGATTCGGACCAAAGAAGAAGTGAATCAAAGTTTGAGCAACCCTGCCATAATGCAAATCAAATGATCGGTTGCACAATAAGTGGTGGAGACTGAGGTAAAAAAAAAATTTCTTGAAAAGTTTCTCCCGAACGAAAAGGAAAAAACGGGAAACATAAAAAATCATTTTCAATATCAGATTTTAAATTCTTGTTGGCGAATTTCAACTTCCGCTGTGCACCCTTCTATCTCCCCCTCTTGACAATCACGCTTAATTTCTTGACCAATTGAATGGCGAGATTGGATCTTATCCTACTGATCCCAAATATCACGTTGGGCCTGGATTTCGTGCCGCCAACATTCCAAATATCACGTTGGGCCTGGATTTTGCCGCCAACATCACCAAATATCAAGTTGGGCCTGGATTTCGTGCCGCTAACATTCCAAATATCAAGTTGGGCCTGGACTTCGTGCCGTCAACATTCCAAAAATCATGTTGGGCCTGGACTTTGTGCCGCCAACATCCCAAACATCCCAAATATTAAGTTGGGTCTGGATTTCGTGCCGCCAACATTCCAAAAATCAAGTTGGGCCTGGATTTCGTGCCGCCAACACTCCAAAGAACTTTGTGCCGCCAACATCCCAAACATCCCAAATATTAAGTTGGGTCTGGATTTCGTGCCGCCAACATTCCAAAAATCAAGTTGGGCCTGGATTTCGTGCCGCCAACATTCCAAAGATCACGTTGGGCTTGGACTTTCTGCCGCTAACATTTCAAAAATCACGTTGGGCCTGGACTTTGTGCCGCCAACATCCCAAACATCCCAAATATCAAGTTGGGCCTGGATTTCGTGCCGCCAACATTCCAAAGATCACGTTGGGCCAGGATTTCATGCCGCCAACATTCCAAAGATCACGTTGGGCTTGGACTTTGTGCCGCCAACATTTCAAAAATCACGTTGGGCCTGGACTTTGTGCCGCCAACATCCCAAACATCCCAAATATCAAGTTGGGCCTGGATTTCGTGCCGCCAACATTCCAAACATCACGTTGGGCCTGGATTTTGTGCGTTGGGCTTGGACTTTGTGCGCCAACATCCCAAATATCAAGTTGGGCTTGGATTTCGTGCCGCCAACAATCCAAACATCATGTTGGGCCTGGATTTCGTGCCGCCAACATTCCAAAGATCACGTTGGGCTTGGACTTTGTGCCGCCAACATTCCAAAGATCACGTTGGGCTTGGACTTTGTGCCGCCAACATCCCAAACAGTCCAACATCACGTTGGGCTTGGACTTTGTGCCGCCAACATCCCAAACATTCCAAAAATCACGTTGGACCTGAACTTTGTGCCGCCAACATCCCAAACATTCAACATCACGTTGGGCCTGGATTTCGTGCCGCCAACATTTTAAAAATCCCGTTGGGCCTGGACTTTATGCTGCCAACATCCCGATTCGGCTTGGATCCTGTGCAACTGAGGCAGGCTCAGGTTTAATCCCACTGACCAATTCATCATACTGGGGCAAATTATCTTTGGAAAGTTTCTTGGTAAGTGATACTTGAACACTCTACTACACCTAATGATGTTTATGTTATGCTTAGAAGTAGCTTGAGTGATGGAATATGTGATTTATTTCTTGATTTGAAGAGTTTTGGTGAAGTTATCCATTTTATGATGATTTTTCTGGTTTAATATGAATGGGATGTTGTGGCCTTGTATGATGAATGGTAATGGTTTAAAATGACTCTAGTAGGTGTGAATTGTTGATAAATGCAATTAATTTTGGATTTGGATGGAAAAATGGAAAGTTAGGGTTCATAATCCCCTAATTCTGTCCGGTTTTGGATCATAGGGTTAGAGGCCGAATTGGACTTTTCTCAAAACATGAAAGTTGTAGGTATTGATGTGTTTGAGGTGTCTGTAAAATTTCAGGTCATTTGGATTAGTGTAGAGTAAGTTATGTCGGAATTACTGTAGCTGTTCTGCTTTGGTCAGAATGCGAAAACTGCGTTGGTATTTGGCTATTTTGGCTGGAATCACTTTGGATTTGGATGTTGGTGTCTTCTGATGAAATGTATCTGGATATCTTAGCTATCATATGCCTTTGGAATTTCGGCATTTG